AGCGATGTGTCAGTTTATAACCGACTGGCCTGCCGTCTGGCATTTGTAATTGAAGGACCCGAAAGACTTATCTGCGGGACTCGACTCTGCCCGCCGCTTCCCGGTCAAAACAAACAGCACTTAAAATGTGTTTTCTTGTTTGCCCGCCATGTAACAAGTGGCTGGCAGGCGGAAGTGAACTAGCCAAGGATTCCAAAGGCGAAAGGCAAACACGCGCAGAGACGTGACTACCTGTGGACGGTGAATAGAGCCGTAAATACGATCGTTTGTCATAGAACAAGGGTCCTATTCTGCGAGGCTCCTATCCCTGAACGCCAAGGAATGGACACTCCAGGTATCCGCCCATTAATCATGCAATTGTGGCTGCAACCGAATCCGGCAGCCAATTTCGCAGCGAGGCTCATCAATAAATAATTTGCGGCCCATAGAAGTGCATTGCGTGGGGTGGCGCTTAGATTAATGAAGGCGTCGCGATTAGAATCAATTTGAATTAATGAACATTTAAGGCGTCTCTGGAGCTTGTTTGGCCACAAACACGCGCAGCGGGTGATTTGATTTGGCGAAAAATGAAAATACATAAGAAACCCAGAGCAAAACAAAAGACTTAGGCAACGAACTTGGGGGGCAACGGCTGCGGCGGTTGTGATTTTGGCCAAAATGTCGGCCCGCCCGGCTGGTCGGCTTGTCTTGCTGGCTTATTAATTTCACATGCCGGGGCCATAATGAAAAGCGATTTTATATGGCTCGGCCGCCTGCCGTCGTTTATAATCAAGTTAAATGCGCGCGCGTCCATAAAAACTTGACTTATCAGCCAAACGGCAAGGCCAACAAATGGCGCAAATGCATTTAGGGGGGTGCGGCAATCGAGGGGATTCCCCTCTGCCCATACTATATACTAAAATCTGCATATCGCACCGTTTGGAGACAGTGCGACCATTAACAGAATGATGTCGCTGAGTGAGTGCAAAAGCGAAGCGAGCATTGCCTTTTTTATGGCACTTTTCACTCGCTTCGGTTTCGGTTTTGGTTTTGGCTTTGGTTTGGTTTTAACTCTGTTCGGCGTATTATGGAAAACCCCATACAACTTTATTGGCCAGCTTCCCGCTGGGTGCAAATATATAACTCTGTTTATCGCATTTCATTCGGCATTATTTATGCCAAAGTGAAAAGTACACGAGCAGAGAGAAAATGTAACAGGTAATGTTAAGTATTTCATTTGAATACAGTTTTAATTGTTTTTTTTTATTTTAGTAAGCTTTAAATAATGCATAAAATAAATTAAATTGATTTCACAGCAACTTAATTTACTTGTCGTTTTCTTTTTATATTTATTTACTTTTCTTTTATTTTTGATGTTTTGATTACATTGCCTTGAAAAGCAACTTTTAAATTCCACTTTTTATTATTCTGTTGCAAAGTGTAAACTAGGAATATTAAATGAATTAAACTGATGTTTATATTTTTTACGGTGCACTCTCTAAGCCAGGTTTCTCCTGCTGTCATTGGCATTGAAAACTATTCAAAATATGCCCGAAAATATCTGCGTGGCATCTTTTTGTTTCCCAATATTTTCGCTTTTGTTGTGTTTACCTTTCGTTGGAAATCAAGGAGACCAGACGCTATCGATCAAGCATGCAGCACATCACACGGAATGGAGTTTGGGATTGGGATGGGAACTGGGATAAGGGGATTCGGGTAGTCGGGGATTGGGGAGCTCCTCACACGCTTGCTTAGATTTCAACACAATGGGCAGTTTCGATTTCAAAGGCAGCGAGAGAACCCGGGCACGTAGATCGGGTCGGGAATGGTTATGGCTATATGGGTACATCTCTGTGACGCTGATGCGCACCTTCGATAAGGATGAGACCGGCGAACACACCTCAAAACGTTATGAAATGCGGACGGGGGAGAGGAAAGAAAAAGAAAACGAAAGAGGAAAGCCAATAGAGTGGGAAAAAGAGGGAGATGGCACAAAAACAGGAAAGAGTTGACACGGCTAATCCTGACGAATTGTTGTTAGCTGTCTTCGTTCATTCAGCAATTTGCTCAGGACGAGAGTTCATTCTCCTTTGTAGGAATGATTTATAATTAAATCGGTTCAGACTTGGGGTCAAAGGAATTCTTTAGTTCTTTTTACTAACAACTTAACGTTAGTTACCTAGCAGTTAATACCAAACGTGGTTATAATTTGTGCTTTTGCGAAGTTGATAATTATAAATACCGGGCTTCATCATATTATTAATTTAAAAGCTTACTAATATTATTCATTAAGATGGAGGCTCTGCCTACCAAACTAAATTATAAGTTGATAGCAAATTCCAAATTTCAAAAGACTGTTTTCTTACATTTACTTACATTTTGATTCTTTATTATTAAATAACCCCAATATAATCTATAGTATATACCAAAACCAGCATTATATTGTTATTGATATCTGGTAACACCAAAGCGTGAACCATTAACCACTATTAATCCTCTCTTATTTCTGATCTTTGATTGTGCTAAATAAAGGAAATTATAGTTGAATACAAAACACGCTAATTTCTTTATTTGAACTTGGAATCCCAACATTTATAATAATAGTTTACATACATATTTTATATTTTTTATGCAGTGGCTCTTCTAATGGAAGCTTGTCGTTCAAAATTCCCGCCAGGATTTGAAGTTGCCGCCAGGAATTAAAATGGCAGACCGAAATTCAAAAAATGTTCCTCTTTACAACACTGAAAAGTTGCGTTTTTGAGTAACTCTGATCCCACATTTTTTCGATAAACCAGCCTTGCTGACTGGCGCATTTCGATTATTCTGCCTTTCCGTTTTGGACCTTGGCAGCGTGAGGATCGTTCTCCCCTGGACATGTTTTCTTTAGTGTTTGAACCAAACCCAGGTAAGTTTTGTTATTATTTGGTGAAAAAAAATCGAATCAAGTGAAAGTGTTGCTATTTAGCGTCCACAATGAAAATTCTTGTGAATTCCAATCTAAACACATCTGTACAAGTTCACGCACGTCCCTGCAACTTAGTGTCAACAACATAGTGCACCCTGTATCTCACACACATTCATACAACATAGTGCAGCCCTCTGCTGAAAGTGCACAAGTGGGCGCAGCCCTCTGCTGAAAGTGCACAAGTGGGCAGGCCAAGCCTGCAACACCCTCTTTGTTATCCATTCTAGTAAAATAACTCAAATTAAACTCAAAGCCATTAAATTCCCATAAACAAAATTCATAGTAAACTTAAAATTAAATGAAATACCTAAAATTAAACTAAGTTCCTGTATCGCTAAATTAATTAAAATATAAATTTCAAAAAAGCAGTTAACATAAATTACCGAAATACTAGTGTAATAAAATAATTCAGTTTGCGGTAAGCAAATCTCGTCATGAGAGCCAGTGTTTAAGACCTTGAAAGTGTTTATAAACGAAATTACAGCCAATAATAAAACATATTGAAAGCGCTTTCTACGTTGGATATATTGGGTAAGTGATCGTGTAGAGTGTAATGTGTATCAATGATCTAAATATTATAAAACGGATTCTCCTATGACTAAAATGCTTGCTCAGTGACTTTAATTACATTTAATATTCAAAATTAATGCTTACATTTAAAACCAATTGCTTCGATTTAAATTTATCTCATCAATATGACCTTAAACTAAACTTTATATAAAATGCAACTTTGTAACTTTAACGATCGCCTGTGTTAGTATTACTTTTCTTTATTAAATCTATTATAAACATGAATTGCAAAATTTGTTCCAATGGAAGCTTGCATCGATGAAGATGATTAGGAGTTAGGCGTGTGTCGAAGGGATCACCAACCTGTGTCAGGTTACGCGGTTGTGGTGATCATGGTAGGGTGGTCAATATCGACACGCACACATTAGCTGCTGCTATTCCATCTAGGCAGCACCCTTTTTTTCAGGTATGTATTCCTTCCTCTTTATCCCACTCTTAGTTCTGTCCCCCTACAATTAACCTCAAAATCAGATCGCACGCGAATTTAAATGGAATATTGTATTGTAATATGCGAGCACTGTGGATCAAATTGGAAACTCACTCCCTTTATCGACGAAACAAGAGCCGGAGCGTGCCCCACTTAAAGCTACACCCACCGTCTTTCGTTGCAGTTAGAATCATTCGTGATATGCTACATAGTAACTAACTTGATTTCATCATATTAAGTTTTCCTTATAGTTACATCATTTGTATTAGCAAATACAAATCATGACCAAGTTCGTTATAGTTTCTCTGCCTTTCGTTTCGGTTCACAAACTTTATGGACGGAAAAGTGTTAAGCCAATGCAGGCGCTAATCAAATTGAGACAACGAAAGTGTTAAGTCGACTTCCAGGAATCGGGCTATTAAATGCGCGTTGGGCCATAAATCCACAGATAAGACAATGCTCCACTGATAAGAACTAAGGAAGATTCGAGCCGATAAGCCATGAAAGAGGCTGCACAAAGATGAGACCCGGGGTCATAAAATCCGAAACCCAAACACACTAAGTAAGCCATAGAAGAGACTCTAACATGGGGTTTTATCACCGCTTGTTAGTGTAAATTTACAAACACTTTCGAATGGGTGAGGAAAAATGTACAAATACATTCAAAGGTGGAGTTTTCCCGACCGTTTTTACTTTCAATGAAAAATTCTAAGGGATTTCCTCTCGAACGGCAACGTGTTTGAGATCTCTTCGGTTGGACCGGCTCGAAATGAGCTGTTGGCGCAGTTCGAGCGTAACATATGTTGCTCTCTTCTCGCTCTTTTTACCCGTTATTCGAAATTCTTTTATGTTAGCTCGCACTGTTAACCAATAATCGTGGTTCTCGCATGTAAAACTCCAAACGTCCATACGAATTGCCCTCCGAACATGTTAACTTCCTATTCAAACTGTTAACCGCTAAATGTTAACAACAGCCGTTGTTCGTTCAGTAGGTTTGAAGACAACCAAAGTGATTTGCTCGATCGCTCAGGAGGTTTGTTTTCTTTTTGCGTTCAACGAAAGCGGTTGCTGTGCGGTTCCGATCGCGGATTGTTTTCGTTTTGCCTTTAAAAAATATTACACTATATAATCGTGCGTAAAAATATGAAGCGAAATATGGATTTACAGAATTTATTAACTAAATTTAGTTAATCATCGAGAAGAGTGACGAAACTGTGAGTGCGTGACGATCGTATCTTTTGGATACGTTTTATGAATGAGCGCGGGTGTGAACGAATTTATTCGAGACAACGAAGACTGAGCAACGCGATAAACAGAGGCACACTCACACGAAAGCGATTAAAAACAACACTCTCCATTTAACAATAAAGAAATCGTTTGTTTTTCGGAAAACAAATAAGAGAAAATCAGAAAAACAAGCGTGGAAATTGCAGTTGCGAATAAAACAAACGCATCGTTTGTCAGGCTTGAATTTCGCACGGTTTCTACACTTCCCCACCAAAAAAAAAAAAATAAATATAATATAAACACTCCCTTACCCCTTTTCGAAAGCAAAGAAAAAATATAAATAAAAACTGTATACAGGAAAAAATATAAAGCTAAATAGTGCATAAAAATCGGTTTTCTTTGCGGTTCGGTTCCGTTTTTATATAGTGTGCGTGCGTTTCTGTTTCCCCCTATCTATCTCTTTCCCTTTCTGCCTTTTCTTTCTCTTTCTCTCTTGAGCAAGCGAATAGAAGAACGCGTGTGCTTTTGTTTTCGATTACGTTTACTATATTTTTTGTACGCCCCATAGAAAAACATGACGAAATGTTGTTGTTGAAAACGAAAAATAAATACAAGTGATTACAATAAAAAACGAAATAACGAAGAGTAAAAGAGAAATTATACATCTGAAATATACGAAGAGAAAAGTTTTGTGAAGAAATATACGAAAGCGAAATTCTATTTGGTGTTTATGGAATTTTCAGTGGTGTTGTGAAAGAAAATACAAAAGTTACAGATACTCTCTTCTCGGCCAGCAGCTGCAAACGCATCTAAAAGGTAAATAGAGCTTCGGGACCCCATGTCGCTTATCTTCGGGGGTGGGTAAACAAACCAGCTTATCTGCGAGTCCATAATGATCTGCAGATCTCCAGATTTCCGTTGTTTATGAGTGGCTTCGGGGCTTCCTAGAACAAAACGTCAGAGTTTTAGATACATCTTGTGATTGTCGTCGGGTTCGCCAGTTACTTTCACTCCCCAAAATTTACCTGAGTTTCTGGGTCTTCGTCAGTCCCTCTCTCTCCCCCCTTTTTTGGTGGTACAACTTTATCTTGTCAGCTGCGAGCTGAAAATGATAGTGATAACCTATATAATATATGTTTACAGTTAGTTAGTCGCTGGCACTATCTACGCGACGCGTTCAGGTTTGAGTTTCTGGAGTTATCTCGGATCGCTATTGGTTTTTTAGCTCTGATCGGTTTCTTTACCATTTCCGCTGCTGTTTGAATTGTCAGCGTTTTATTCCGATTCATAAATCATAATCGCTGTGTAGTTTGTTTACACTCTTGTCGAGTGGTGGTTCCACCCTCGGTAGTTTGCCTTTAATTTCATGGGAATAAACACCGAAAAGTGCACAAACAATTCGATTTGCATACTTATTGAGAACTCAGCTAAATAACAGAAACAGAATTTCCGGTTCTATTACGGTGCGTCATCGGTGTCGATCGTTCTTTGTGTTTTTTGTTTTAACCCCCGAGACTGGCGACCCGTTTTGTCTGCTATAACAGCAACTCTTGATATGGTCCGCCCTTTATAATTTTACAGCATAGCCACCTTATATATAAACTCGTTTTGAATTCGTTGTTTCTGCCTTTGTTGTTTATACTCCACATATGTACCGATAAGTATGTAAATAAGTTCGCAACGAAACACTTGTGCTGGGTGGTTGATAAAATAGCAAATTTCAGGCAAATAAAACTGAAACAATATTTCGGTTGGCCTGGCTTCTTCTGGCTGGGAAAGACCCAAAAAACGATATATGTATTAAATGAATGTTTATAAGTTACACTCAATCAATAAGTTTGAACTTTAGTATCTTAGGAGACTTCGTATTTTGTAAGCAAGAAAAAAAATTATAAAGTAAACATCAGAAGAAGTAAACTCAAATACAAAACTAAACAAATAGTAAGTCCTCCAAGTTAGTAGCTAATCTCCTTCCCATAATCTCCCATGATTTTTAATTAAACAAAGCAATGTTACACCCAATTCAGCAGCTTAGAAGTTAATCTCTTCCCCAGATTTTCCCTGATTTAATTCAATCGCTTTCCCCCTGTTTCGCTGGTCGCAGACATTTATCAGGCGGGGCAGGTTCATCAATTTCATGTGTGATAAATGTCGTACAAGAATTTACACAAATATGCATGTCTCTTCTCCAGCTGCCGGGTACAAGCTGAGTTGACAAAATGATTTGTTTGGGCGCCCCATGTCTTGTGTTCATTGTCGCAGACGTCGGGAGAGCATCTTCATGATCACTGAGCGCCACCCTGAACTTACGGCCAGAATCTCGGAGATTCATCTACGGTCTACGATCTGGAGCCCAAAAACAGCCACTAATTCCAAACAATGTAAGGCATTATTTATTTTTAACTGAGGTCATCAGCGTAGACATCGTCTATTACAGAAGCGCCCGCCTCTCTCGCTCAACCTCTAGAATTTTTCATCTCATCGTGCTGGGAGCTCCCTCCGGTTCTCCAATTCTCTGTGCTCCGTTCTCTATGCTCCATTCTCTATTCTCAATTTTCCGATCTCTACACAGCAACAAAATTTCATTTGAAATTCCTTGATATTAAATTCGTGATCATTGATCATTGATCATTTCCAATCGTTCAAATACTTTTTAATAAAATCTAACGAATCAGTCTGTCATGATATGATTTTAACATGTATCCAATCATAAGTTAAACATATATAATTATTTACTTATATATATTTTTTTAAATTTTAATAAAGATTTTAAAATTACCTCTATTTTTTCTGTGCATCGTTTCGAGTTCTATGGTGTTGTTCTTATTTCAAAGTTAATGTGCTTGGTGCTGTTTTTTGTTCAGCTGTTGAACTCGAACTCTCACCAAATTATGCCACACACACACATCGCACACACACTTACCCTGATAGTGGGTGAAAGAGAGGGGTAGCATGGCGGGGGAAAGAGAGGGCGAGCAGTTTTAGTTGGGTTTACAAAGATCCAAGACCCCGGACCCAAGACCCAATGCCAGCGGGGCCAGCAAACATTATTTGAAATATTTATGCTTGACTTTTGCGCCTCAATGACTTTTGAATTGCCTTGCCTTTGGCTGCCCGTTTTTACACACACGTGTTCGTATCTGTATCTGTGCGTTTTATGTCGGTTCTAGAGATACGCACCGATCTCTGTGTATATTTTTACATGCCGGCGCACATATGTTGCATCAATGGGATGTTCGGGATCTATGATTCCCAACCCCACCGGAGCGGAGAAAAGTAGACAAACATTAAAGACACATTAACCTGCTTTTAATTTGTCAATATTAGCTGGTCAAAGCCGTTGGTCCGAGAAGAAAGGTCTTTCTTTCCCGGGTTCTCAGGCCACACTTTTCATTTCTTTCGGCCATCGTTGGAAAGTGAGGCAACTAGAAACACAAAAAAAGACCAAAGAGGCAAAACAACGAGGCAATAACTCTGCACGACAGACCCAGCATGTCTGGATGCCTGAGATGTTGACCTTTTCACAGCTGGAACCATCTCTCACATCATATCGTTTGTGGGGTTCTTTTCGGTCGGTCTTCCAGCATTTTGGCCCATTGCTCGGCCGCTTGTCAATTTCTGTCAGTTGCTTGTCAAAAAATTTGTTTGGCTGTAAAAAATGCAGTGAAAACGTTTAACACAGACCACCAAAAAACCGAAAAAGAAAAACCAAACACGATTTTCATGTAAGCCATCCAGAAAATGATTGACGAACCGCACTGACGAGCTAACCGACTAACTTCTCCGCACAATGTGAAAATGTACTTATATATAGTATTGTGAATTCCCAGTCTAAGGGGCTGCATAATTAACCTTTTGGCCGGACTTTTGAGGTATGTGCTGTAGTACTACACCCGTGTCCGTTCGTTTGTCCGTCCGTTTGTCCGTCCATTTGCCCGGTCTGTTTGCCTTTGTTTACAGCGTAACTTGTTGATAAATAAATGTGAAAATGCAAACAAATCGGTGAGCAACAACCACCGTGCTACGCAATCGACGTCCGCTGACTAATGGCTCCCTAATCTGAAGCTCTCCCCTTTCCCCCTCTATAGGGTATAATATATAACAATAAGGGCTCCGTTCTGTTGGACACGTAGAATATGGGTCGGTTTCTTTTTCGGGCATTCCCTTTATGGCACACTTGAAATTTTGCCAATTTATCTCAAACTGACACGTCTGCGTGCGTAGGTTCGGTGGCAATTTTTTTGTCACCTTAGAAATGTGAAGGGCGTCGCGTTATGGCGCCGCTTAAAAACGAGCTAAATTAGCATTTTTTAACGAACTCGGTTATTAATTTCTGCTTTTGGCCGAAATCACCAATTAATTCACGCTCGCTGGCACGGCAGGTGATCTCTCTCTATGATGATCTAATCCCCAGCATTCAATTGCCGTAATTAGGCTCAATTAATTTGGCATAAAAGCGGAAATGGAAAAGTGCTGGTTCGAACGGATGCAAAAATAAGAGACAAAAAGAAAACCCCCTCAAAAAAAAAAGCGTTGGAAAAAATTGTCTTAATGATAGACATTCACTTTTTATGGACGCGCGAGGTGTGTGTCTTAATGGAGTGAAATTTCTGGTAATTGAGCGAGACGAGCTTTTGACTCTTGGGTGCGCATTTGATGAATTTTGAGCAAGTCTATATATTTTCGCAGCACTTTGGCTGGCTTTTGTTTTTGGCACGGCTCGGTGACTCGGAGACGGGGCTTCTACTGCGGCCACAGCCTTCTTCTTTGGATTTTGCCTTTGCTTTTTTGCCTTAGCTGCTGTTGTGCTGCATTTGTTATGCAAATCAAGTGCCGCCATATGTATGAAGCCGATATACGTGTATACATATGAACTAAGAAACCGAAACGCTGCCACAGTGAGTCGGTAGTATACAGAAGGAAAAAAATTGCCACACAACTGGATGATCAATCAAATTGATTTACGAAATGAAATGTGTTTTGGTATACACATTGGGCAAAAGAATTTCGATTTATGTGGAATAAAGGAATGCTTACTCTAATTTATTTCTTCCTTTCAAATTGTTCTTATTAAAAGATATACTTGTATTCATCTTTTTATTATTAACGAAACATTTTTAAAAAGTTAAATATTATATGAAATGGTATAGAACATTTACATTTTACCTATGAATATTTATTTTGTGATAGTGCTATTATATTACTTCAAAGGATTCATTATGTATAGACTATTTATTATACATATATATAGAGGCATGTGGATTTTTTCCTGTGCACTGGAGATATAGCTGGAGCCGGAGATGGAGTTGGCCGGACCGGGCCAAGTCGGTTTGGGCCAACTCAGACCGGCACACCACACAAAATTGAAATAAACTGAGTCCGAATCCGAATCCGCGAACTGGTTGTGTAGGCAGCCCACGTACAAGGTCTTCAAATATGGCTCTTTATTTAGCCGTTGTTGCTGCTCTTTTCTAAGCATTTTTCTTCTATTTCTTGTGTGTTGGATTTTAGACGCTATAATAGCATTAATTTACCATACAATTTCATATTTATGGCCATTGTACGCTGAAGTGCAATTCGTATTTAAACTTTGTTTTGGTTTTGGTTTTGCCTTTGCTTTTGCATTTTTGTCTTTTTGCCTTTTTGTTTTGTATGTTTTTCAATTTGTGCAGTCTGCAGTTCCTGAGTGAATGAGTGTCGTGCCTTCTGCGTGGGCGGTTTGTTTACTTTTGTGCCCCATTTTTGGTTTTTAATTAAGTTTGTTGTTTATTTCAGTTACACGAGGGCATGCCGCCCTCTCGATTGTTCGATTGCCC